GAATGTTAGTGGCCTCTAAAAAATTATGAATGTTGAAAAATACAACGTTGAATAAAAGTGAAGTCACACACAAGATAATGTCATTCTAGAAATTTCCATAAAATAAAATATAATTATATTATCTGTTGTACTGTCCGATAATAGTAAAGCTGTGATGAAAAGTACAGGCACTGTAAACACACGGCTCCTAATGCTGATTCCCTCTGACAAAGGGGGGAGGATCCGTGGAGAAAGGGAGACAGAAGAAGTTTCCAAAGCACCTGTGTTTGTGAGTATTTTATTGTTTAAACTGTGTCGTTGCTATATGGATATTTGTCTTACTGTTCACACCCACAAATACATGTATTTCATGTTTTATGAACTAATTCATTGAAATAACAAATAAAAAGCAAAACATTTAGAATGTTTCTCAAAGAGAAAGCTAGGACTCATGCAGAGGATAGGAAGAAATCTGGATTGGACTGAGGGATAGAATAACGCAGGTAGAATGCATCCCCACCAAACGGGTGTACGTGGATGAAGACAGAGCTTCCTGACCTTCAGGGTCACCTTCTCCATCTCTCTGTGACAGAGAAGGGAGGGACAGCAGGTCTTGGCTAATGAGAAAAGTAACAGCTTGAGATATGCAGCAGCAGCCAGATGAACACTTGGTGAAGCGTTCCTCCGGTCAGATCAGGGTGTGCTTTCCCACTGTCAGGCCAGGGCAGATAAGAGGTAATATTCACTTATTCATTCACCAAACACTACTGTGTGTCTAGACTCAGGGAGGCACAATGAGCAAGAGGTGCGTGGCCTCCTTCACTTCCTCTCTGTGAACTCTTCTACGTCACTTCCATGGGCATCTACTCTGGGCTGTCCCTGTCCTCAGGGAGTCTAGCCCGCTCTCCTTTCCTTTCCACTCCAGGGATAATTTCTGACACTTTACAAATGAAAATCAAGTCCATGTAGTCAAATACTCTCTGGACAGCTCCACTTACATATTCCATGACCTCCTGTTGGAGGAATAAGATGATTATACCAATGCCAAGACCCTGCCATACCAATACAGAGGAGAGAGAAAACAATTTAAAATACAGTTAAGTATTATCAGACTTACATGCATGTAAAGGTAGCAGGAACATGAACACAGTCTGGACATAAATCCATTTATTAACATAAGAGAGAAGAACAATTAAAACTTTTCTTATCTCCATTGAAGATGAGGACATACCTTGTGACTGTCTCCTGTATACCTTCTAAGGGACTTCCAAGGTCATCTTGGAGGTTGTGTTTCCCATTCCAAGGTCAGAAAGCCCATGACCTTGTCTTATAAAAGCCAAAGACTGATGTTTCATGAGGAGACCCCACAAGGAGGAGACGGTGGGGAGGCATTCCCCTCCCGCCTCTTTACTAATAAGCAAAGTGAGTTTGACCATCTTACCCTTACATTTGAAAGTTTGATCGTTGCCTTTATAGCCCACAAAAGTAGGACTTTCTAAGCTGAAATTGTCTCTTGATCTTCAACTTCAGCCTGCTTGTTCCTCTGAGTTTCTTACCTCAGATCACAGGGAATTGCCCTGCCAAAACCACGCGTCTTTGCCCAGACCAGAAGTTGAGATGTTCTCTTTGACTTCCCTGTCGTCTTTCCAGAGGCCCTTCTTGCACAATCACAGAAAGTCCTGGCCATTCTGCCTCATAAATATCTATGCACCCGTCTCTTCATTCTACCATCACTGCTCTATGGAAGTCAGGCCACCCCTCCGGGGTCAGCAGCAGCCCGCTCTCAGATCCCCCCACTCACAGGCATGTGCTCCCTGGGGAACTAAGGGCATTGCAGGAATGGACATAGAAGCCTGCATAATTCGCATTCATTTCTTTTTGTCAAAAGGTGAATTTAATACATGATGGTTCCTCAGTGACCTCAAGTTACGCCAGTTTCTGGGCTTCTTCATTTTACAGGTAATGCTTTCTTTTCCCTTTTCACATTGACAAAATATTTCTTCTCTCTCACTTTTCCATTTGGCAGTCATTCACCCCCAGATATTAAAAGGTAAGAGTACCATAAAATAGCAAACAGCAATTTATTTGGCCAAGCACCACTGGCTGCCTCTTTAGAATGGAAAGGCTTGTCCTCATTCTGCAGAGGGTGCTCAGAATATATTGCACTGATCAGAGAGAGTAGGTAAGGAAGCCTGCTGTTGAATAAAAAAGAAGCTTTTGGTGTTTAAGATGTAATATTGGTAATTTGTGTGTATGCTTGTTGCAAAGCCCTTAAGAGAGCAGATTATTTTTCCTGGAATACAATTCACCACTAGCTTGTCCATCTGGGAAGGCACTGGGGCATAGCTGGAAGAGGGTCTGGGGGCTGGGTTACAGACAGGGGTGCAATGGAGCAGAGGATAGTTATGGATACAAAGGGCTACAGTGGCTAGACGGGCAACTGGAGAAAGCAGATGCTGCCGTGGGCAAGTGGCTTGAGCCAGATCATTGTACTTCGCTCACAGCTAACCGGGTAGGATCGCTGTGGCACGGCTGTTGTTTTGCTGTCGTTGAGGTTGTTGTCTTTAATCACTTGTAATAGTGGCATGTCCACTTATTTTCTGAATTTCAAGCCTTGGTGAGAAATTCCTCAGCATGCCGAGTAAAGAAAGGAGAGTTGTCATTCCTGTTTTTTTTTTTTAATTGAATCCTTTAAATCTTATGAGAAGAAAACATGTCATATCGTTGTAATGTTTGTGGTGTCATCCGCACTGCTGTTCTGAAAGCTGTGTCAGTGTTCCCATTGCAAATCAGTTCTTCTGAATGTTCATGGCTGTCATAAAACACCCAAGGGATGGATATGTGCCACCTACACATTTCTGGTTCACTTGCTGCATGGCATAATTAATAAAGCTATTTTTGCTTTTACCCAATCTTTATCATCAAAAAAACAGGAATATCACACAAATATACATTCAGCCTGGCTCGTGGCATTCTATTCCATTCTATGGGAACAGGACAAACGAATTCAAGGGTATTGTGAACACCTCTCATTTGTCCATAGAAAAGTAAGCAAGAGCCCTCAGAGGTGAAAGACATGCAGAATCCTCTGTGAACACCACCAGATCTTTCTCTAAAGGACTCCATGCCCTGGAACAAAAGCCAGGCTATTTATCAAGAAAAGCAAACATTCTATGGCCATGTATGACGATGGCTTTTATTTTCTCTTCATCAGGCTGAGAATATGAATCCTATACTCTCTTAAAGGCCTAGAAAGACCTCAAAATTTCATGTTGCTGTTTGTTATCTAAAAGATATGTTCTAAGAGCAGAAGATAGGTTAAGAGTGCCTTCAAATATTCTGATTTATACTAAGTATTTCTCAATTACATGGATTTATAAATACAAACACAGAAGCACAGTTTAGAAATTAAACTCGGGATTGCAAAGCCAAGTCTGTCTATGAACCAGGAACACACCACACGTTAAGTGAAGCAGCCTGCGTGTGTGCCTGGTGTACAGGGGCACGGGGTACGCATGCGCAGACAAGCCCGCCAGCCACTTAGGGAAGCAGCCTCCGCTTAGGTCCAGCTCTGTCTGCAGGCGGAAATGTGAGCACAGTGCCTGCCGCCGGATCCCCCAGATGCTTAATGACTTTTAAACACTTGGCCCAAGTAAAAAAAGAAAAGAAAAAGAGAAGTCACTCTATGGGCCTTGCTTGTGACTTTTGCATTAGACGATCAACCTTAGGATTAAAGCGCATCAGAAAAGTCTTACTCATTTCTTCAGCCAATCAGAAGAAAAGTATGAAGTGTTTCTGAGAACTTCCAGCAGTAGCCCAGCAAAGAGCTTCAGAGAATCCTGACAGAAGGCAGGCTTCTTAAAACTCAGAGCACGATTTAAGATGCAAGGAAGCAGAGGTGATTCTGAAAGACAATGCGATCACTGAAAAGTACTTGGTAATCAGATTTTTATGTCTAGTGATAAAAATGAAAATCTCAAACTGCCTCTAGATCTCATAACTAACCAAATAAACCTGGACACGGCAGTGAATCAAAATTTGGGGCCTGAGATGAAAACTGTAATTCTCTAAATTAAAAGCACAAAGTTAGAAAGCAGAAAACTTCAGACATTTTCGGAATATATAAACAAATGCACTAAATAACTCCTGGTTGATAATAAATCCATACCTTTCATAATAAAAAAATTGCCCATATTCTCTTGAGACTTACCTGCTGCTTTTACTGGGTGTAATTAATATGCGATCTTTGCTTCCTTTATGCAAAACTGGTCGTGAGGAAGGCATCAAAGAGGACTGCTAAAAAAAGAGGCAATGATGAGAAAAAATAAGGAAAAGAAGTCTGAGACTTTGAGCAGCCACATAAAAACACTCATATACTGACCCACACACGGGGCTGTCACTGGTGCTCTGTGCCTCCCAAGCCCGTCTCCACTCCCAGGAGAATACCAGGGGGTTTATGCATGCATTTGGGGCCATTCTGTCTTTTTTGCTGATGTCTAGAGTCCTGCTTTCCCATCCATCATCCTTAACTTGGCAGTGGGTCTTCGGCGGATTCTTCAGCCCACTCAGCTAGTTCCGGATGTATGTCGAACAGCATTGAGAAGTGCTGCAGTACAGGCAGGGCCTTTAATATCATGAGAGCAGATTGTTCTGTCTCTGGATAAGGTGTTGTGCCAGTGTTGTGAGAGTCCTATTCTATGGATCACTCAGCTTTCAGTTAGAAGTAGCAGTTATCCTAACCCATCAGTTGCAGGTGTATTAGTCAGGGTATGTGAGGCTGCAGTGACAAATAGGCCCAACATGCACGGCCTCCAAATTACAGAAATTTCTCATTGATGTAATAGGTCAGGGTGGCTGGGGATGGTTCAGGTCAGTGGGAACAGTCTGCTCCACTGAGTCAATAGGGCACCAGCCCTGATGTTAACGATTCTGTCATCTCTGACACATCTTCCAAAGTCCACAAAAATGGGGAGAATGAGGAAAAACATATGTGTGAGGCTTTTATGCCAGGCCTACATATGACAAACATAACCTCTGCTCACTCCATTCACAATGATTCAGTCACCTGGCTACACCACACTGTAAGGGCAACCAGAAAATGAGTTCTAGTTGAGTGCTGGGAGAGAATAGAGATTTTGGTAGACAGTTAGCAGTCTCTGCCACAAATGGGAAGAAACGTCATCTAGATCAATTGCCTCTGGAGACCTCATTGAAAAAAATGAACCTCTTTCTCATTTTCCTCCCCTTTCTCATTTCAAAACTACCAACAGGACCAAAAAGCTGTGCTTGGTTTTGAGCCACATATTTTGTATATGAGAGCATTTGGGCACCTGCTTCCTCCCACTGCCCACATGAGATGCATGCCTGCTATGCTCGATGCAAGGGAAATTCGGGAGCTGCAGAACACGTGATCCCCACCCTTCTGGACTCTGCAGCTGCACTGGGAAGAGAGGCGACTTACACACACCATGAAAGTGATGCCACAATGTGTTATCAGATACCTTTTCATCACAAGAACAACAGGAAGTTCCCACTTCATCGCCTCCCGCACACAGCATGCAGAAGTGTCTTAGGGATAAAGAGGAGAAATTGTTGAAGGTTGACTGCATTTTAATCAGAAAACCAATTTATTAATTCTATAACCAGTGATTTTTAGATTAAAAAAAAAAATCCCTGCCTAGAAATCTTGGCAATGTGCCTGTTTAGTTTGGTGTCCTCTAGGCTTCTCTCTCTGCATACCGGATGAGTAAAAAAAACTCACTAAACTGTATTTCATTTTCCCTTCTGTCTTCCTTCATAAAATAATGAAATCAGAAGTAAGAATTATCTGCTTTAGAGAAAGGCATGTGAGGAGAGCGGGGAAATGTGACTGTCTAACAACAATTTAATCAAAGTGTTACCAAGACCCATCTGTAGCTTTAAAAGAGATTTCCTTCCAAGTTTTGCTGTATTGAAATGCCGCATGAAACTGCATTAAACCACGAATTCTCCAAATTCAATAAAAGGAAATGTAGAAAGATATTTTCTTCAAATGCCTCCAGCTGGCCATCTGCCCTAATCACATACAGGCCTCAAAATTGTTTTCCACTGACAGAAAAGGATCCATAAAGACTATTACCATGGAGTGATGTGAGAGTGCGTGGACCACTGTGACCCTCACCTCCGCTGAGCTGAGCGCGCCTGGATGGGAATGCAGAAGCGTGGGTATAGGCCGAGCGGAGGGTGCTAGCCAGCTCTGAACTGCTATGGCATGTTGCTCAAATCTCTCCGAAGGGCAAAGGATAGCTGATTAGCTGCCGACCTTCTGCCCTCGGAGGGCAACCTCACACAGCAGAGATAGTGATGCAATTATTGCAATAATTCAGCCAAGTGGAAGCTAGGAAAAGAGGCTGGCTTTAGCTGCTCTCTGAGTCTTCAGTCTTTGCTGTGTGGCCCCTGGGGGCCACGTGCAGTGCCCATGCACAGTGAGCACCAGGTCAGCCAGGGCTAGAGGGAAAACCAAGGCCATGTGAAATGGGGGGCATAGGTAGGCTCCCCAGTCTGTCACATGGTGAGCTCAGACTAAACTGCTCGGGAGAGGGCCAGCCCCTTGCACATTTCAGATTGATTGGAATCTGAGCCATTGGTCATGAGCACTTGAAAGAGGCAGTCTGGTAAGATGGGGAGAGCAGGGAACCTGGTAAGGAAAGATGTAGGTTCGTAGCACAGACCCATCTCTCACCCTTCTCCCGCCACCCCCAGGGAGGCCAAATAAATCACTTCTTGAGTCCCAGTTCTTTCATCTGTGAAGGAAGAATTACAACGACATGTAGAGTTCAGGATTGCCGTGTGAGTGATTGAGATGTCTTTGAAAGGGCTTTGAAAACAGCCAAGTGTTATAAATATTGTTGAGTGATATTAAAGAATACAAAAGAAAGTCTGTGCAGAGATCCTGACATCAGAACCCTGTTTCTTTGGGGGAGATTTGCACATTATCAAGCAATCTGAGGGAAATGAGCAAGCAGACAAAAATGCAAAATTACGTGATGATGACATGAATGTTTCTCATTTACCTAAGCACACATGCACTTAAAGTTTTCAAAATGCATTCTCTGAGTCCTCTGGGATAGAGCCACGTTAGCCTCTGCCCCCTGAATATGATGCATTTATTGTGCCATGCGCTGTTCCACATGCTTTATGTGTTGTGAAGATCATGACATTCTGACAGATAATCACTGAGGTAGGTTCTAGTGCCCTTATCATTTTAAAGACAGGAAACTAAGGCACAGCAGCTAGGAAACATGCCCAAGGTCAGACAGGTAGTTAGTGTTAGGGGAAAGTTAAGAACCCAAGGAAACAGCCTCTGTAGGGTACACTATGCCTACCACCAGGCAGATGCCGGAGCTGACGGTTAGGAGTCCAAAAGGACCTTGTAAAGTGACCCCATTCACAAGCAAATAAGCAGAGGAAGATTCCAGTTTAAAACTTCCATGGGTCGTTAACTTCCAAACTGGTGATCAGAGGCCAATTGTTGGAGAAAAGAAGCTTAACTGATTAACTTTATTTTCTCCTCAATGATACACTTTTAAATAAAAGGAATTCATTAGCGGAGTTAAACGTTTACAGAGTTATATATTGACTTGGGTCATTTAGAGCCTACATTCAAAAACCAAAGAGTTACGTTATATTGGAAAACCCCACGGACTAACATTTGCATTTGTAGCCACTCCCTAACCTCTGCCATTCCTCTTCATTCTTGATTATTCTCTTGCCCTGGAACCTGCTTGTTCAGGCATTTGTGTCCCCTAACAAATTTTGTCATGAGCCCAAATCCCCACAGCCTTTTGTCCTTGGTTGGCTTTTTTCCAGGCTAGTCTGTTCTCATCTTCTTGGTCAAATTCCTAAATAATATGCCCAACTCAGCTCCGGTTTCACCTGGACTTAAGGACACCATTTCCTTCACAGGAGAAGACATTAGCTAATCCCAGAAAAGGTCTCAAAACCACCACGAAATAGCTCTCAGAGTACTCGGGGCTGTCACATCGTTTCTGCCAAAAGTAGAAAAGAAAGAAGAGCAAAGACCACCTATCATTCAAGCATTGAAGGCGAGGTCTGTCCGATGTCCACCCCTGGATCACTCCCCTTGAGTGTCCCCAGGTAGTCACTTCTGCCCAACATGGGGAAGGTTCCTGCTTCAGCACCAGGAAGAACCAGATTTGTGAGTTGGGAGGCAGCGTGTCCCAGAAAACACACACGGGCTTGGGGACACGTCCCTCGTGGCCCGACTCACGGAAGTGCTGAGCGAAGCAGGAGTAGTGACCCCTGGGAAGAGTTCCTGACAGTTCAGCTCCCGACAGATGCTTCCTAAATAAGGGGGGGCCAGGCTTGGCTTGAATTTTGACCCACCAGTTAATGACTTGAGACCTCGGATGTATCACTTAACTCTTCTGAGCCTCAGTTTCTCCAAGTAGTCCATTTTGACAGTTAACAAACGTCCCCGAGGGTCGGTGTCAAACATTCATGAAGTGCCTATCATAACAAGAGCCGTGTCTGCTCCTGGGAATAGAGCAGTGAATAAGTGGACACCTTCTCAGCCCCACTGGAGATCATGGGCAACTGCTAGCTTTCTGTAATAAGGCGGGGAAAATGCCAAATGATAAGATTCCTTTCAGAATTCAATGAAATAAGGTAAATAAAGCATGTGGCATCTAGTCGGCATTCAGTATACATTCCACTGCGTCAAATCTTTAGAAATTGGCATACATAACAATTGGATCAATTTCAATAGGATCTTACCTAAAAGCTTAGCTTGCTTTCTCTAAAGAGGACCCTCTGGTTTAAGGGGGTCAAGGACCCTCTTCATAGAAAACATAACATGAAAAAAATATCTGAATTGAGCATATACAGGTTTGTAAATATGGAGCACCTTATTTTTCATCATGCTATTTTCCATTTTGCATATACTGAATATTTCTGAAATTTGACAAGTAGCTTGGGCTCTTCAAAGGGAAGAAACTAAGAAAGTTCAAAGCAAAAGTATTCTAGCAGCTAAATGAAGCTGCAGAGACGACACAATGGCCTTTTAGAAATGGCCCTGTGGGAGTCACCCGGTAATGGCCCAGTCAGGCTAGACACTATCAGCCAAAGGCCAGGACTTGTTCAGCAAAAATGAAAAAGGAAATTGAGACAATTTTCCAAGTAATTTAGGGGAGAAGCCCTTTCATCCAGATTCTGGAGGTACAGTGACTGGCGCAAATCTCTGCCCCGGCAGAGGAGACCTGGCCGCTGGGGAACGGAGCCCTCGTCAGTGACCCAGGGGACACGGGGTGAGGGCTGTGAGCTGGGGCAGAATGAGGAGGAAAGCGCGCTCGTCCTGAGCACGGGATCCGGGTGGCTTCTGTCCACCGCATCTGTGCGTCCGTCTTCCAGTCGCAAATGGCTCCATGTGCTGGTCTCCGGCTTTGCTAACAGGATGTGTTTAGCTATATTAAGTCACATGGAATCTTTCTGGTAGCTACTCTCCTCCCCGTAGATGCAGCGGAGCACCCGTTGTGGAGCCCAGGGGGCGGGGAGCATGGGGAGTCAGAGAAGGGAGCCCACAGTTGCACAGCGACCACAGTCAAGACTGGGCGGGAGAGGCACGTCCTCCCTGGGCTGCCGACCAAAATCACATCAGGCGATTTTAGAGGCACTAAGAGCCTGTTTTCATTTGCCCTCCCCGTCTCTCTCTCTGTGAGGGTGTTTGCTTATTTCTCAGTCTGAGAAACCATACCAGTTCATTAAAAATGAATAACACCCCCTTGGCAACCGCTTTCTCATCCCAAAGCCCAGCCTCCGGGGATCATTTTGCCTGGCTGAGCTTTGGCGGAAAAGGGAGCTTCTGGGCTTGGAGGCCACCGTCCGGGCTCCGCCTTTCCTGGGCCAAGCTGTGCATATGCAACTGTTTGTACTTTAACTGGTTGTACTTTAACCAACAAGGAACATTTTGTATAAGGGAATGCATAACTTTAGAAGCAAAAAGAATTCTAAGAAAAGATTCCATCACTTACTGTGTGATTTTCAGTAAATCACCCAACCTCTCTGAACTTGTCTCTTTGTCTACATAATAGGTATTGATGGGTATTAATTTATTAACATAAGTGAAGTCCTATGACAGGGTTTGGATAAATACAAGTATGTAGGAATATCTTCCCTCAGGCCTAGTGAATATGCCTCCGTCTCTGAATCTTTTCTAGGGTTTGGTGCGTGACCTGAACCCAAATGTAGATCTGGCACAAGGCAACTCTAACCCAGCTTCCCCCTAATTGTATCAAATTATTAAAGTGAATTCATCTTAGCAGGTGTTCTCTTGAGAGAAATGAAATAGACCAAAGAATATATACTGGTGCTCTAGGCACTGTGTTATACTTTCCTTAGTTCCTGCTCACGTCCTCTCCAGATGGTTCAGCAGTACCAAAGCATAAGTCTAAAACAGCTGCTATACCTTTAGTTTTTTAACTTGATTTTAGAAGCCCTGGTCGGGTCACTAGTATATTAAGCAGGAGGCGTAACTTTGTACAATGGGATAGTTTGCTTAGCTGCTTTTATATTATGTTTACTATAAAATCAATTATGTGTATGAAGAAAAACAATACAGAAAAGGTGGAAATACAAGGTAGAATGTGAAAGCTTTCTATAATCCCACGCCTTCCATTTCTCTCCAAACTTCAGGCCACAAACATGCAGTGGACCTGGAGGCTGCCTTCTGGGCGGAGAAGGTAATATATGGACTGGGGTGTACTCCGTTCCCCTGCAGGGCAGTCTCCCCCTTCACAGGGTTACCCAGTGTAAACCTGTGTCCTGGCTGAACTCAGCCCAATGTAACTCTGCTTATCTGTAAGAAACAGGAGGCCTGCAGTCAGGAGTCCCCCTCAGGACCAGACTGGCTGAAACTGCTTAGGATCCAAGACGGCACCTCCCTTGACCCAAAGAGAGCCTCTCACTCCATTGTGATGTATTCCCCATGGTAAATGGCACTCCCGCCAATGCCGTGATAGCTCACCATCACCATGACAACAACCAGAATGGACCACGAGAGGACAAAGGAAAGGCTCGGTGTGCTGGTTACAAAAAGTTGCCCACCATTCCGATAGAAAACCTGAACATGCCTCCCCTGACTAACGAATGCCTAACCTTTTCGTTGAAGTTTGCCTGTATCTACAGATTCCCAGCTCACTGGTGGAGAAGTTACCTGTGAGCTGCACCCCGGCATCCCCATTCTCTGGCCATGAATAAAGCCCACATTGTCTGTACTCACTTTCGGTCTTATATATTGT